TTAGGCCTATATCATTAAATGTACACACTGTGTGTGTGTGTGTGTGTGTGTGTGTGTGTGTGTGTGATTTGTAGCTGACGAAGTTCCAGGCAGTGCTGTGATGGTGTTCGACATCGAGCTTGTAGACATGGAGGAAGGACTTCCTGAAGGCTACATGTTCATCTGGAACGACGACGTGTCACCTGACCTCTTTGCTGAGATGGACATGGATGAGAACAAGCTGGTGGAGCCCTCTGAGGTATGTGATAATAACCCTTATGTCAGGGGCGGATTTAGACTTTTTTTTGATTGGGGTGGCCCAACTGAGGCACTGACTAATGCAGGGGTGGGATGACGTTTGTGTAAAGACACACACAAATTAATATAAATTATTAACCATTTCTGTCTCCATTAACTAAAAGTGATTTATTCTGTGTTTATTTTTTATTTTTTTTACTAACAAATACCACAGCAGAGTTGCAACATAAGAATATTCTAAGCGTCAAGGACTCAAAAGAAGAATCCTTTAGGAGTTTAAAGCACTAACGAAAGGAAATGGGCCACATGGAAATGCAAGAACTAGCAGTCTGAAACACAGCTGAAGTACTGGCTCTGACAATGCAAAGAGCCAATCATAGATTAGGATTTTTTGGGTGGCCAATGAGATTTAAAGGGTTGCTAGGATATGTACCCCTGGTCATCCCTTGATCCATCCCTGCTAAATGTACATGTTTGATACCAGTCCTTTTGTTTCCACAGTTTACTGACTACATCATGCGACAGGTGAATGAGGAAAAGGCCGCCTGGCTCCTGGCTTTGACCCTTATCGCATCATTGACAACATGTTCTCCAATCAGGATCGAAACGGTGACGGAAAGATCACAGAGGCAGAGTTCAAGCTTAAAGCAGATGAATCCACCCATGACGAGCTATGACGGGACTGAGTGAAACATTCAGATCATGGTGTAGGCCGCAGGTTCAATGGTGGGGTGGGGGGGGGGGTAGAGCAGAAAAGGATATTAAATGTGTAAAGTAAGTGTGGAGTGAGAAATGTGCCAAGAGATTTTTTTTTTAACTCCAAGACTTAGATGATGGTGAAAGGATGCTCTGTCCAAAAAAAAGCCAAGAAAGAGAAAATAGGATTATTTTTTTGGGCAAGAAATTGGAAAAGTGAACACCTCGTTTAAGGACTTACATGACAGTGAATGACTTAAAATGTTTGTATCTCCTGTCCTTTAAAGTTCATGTCTTGTTTTATGTGGGTTTTTTTTTTTAAATATTGTTATTTTTTGAAGGGTACAGAAGCACCACTCCTGTGACAGAAAACAAAAAAAGGCCTCACTCTCTCCAAACACACTTTTATGAATTTGTTTTTGTTAAGATTTTTATAGCTGTACATGTTTTTGTTTTTATGAAGTGGGTGTCAGCTTCCATTGACAGTCTCCCAGGAGCAACACGTCGGTCATCCTACACTGTTATACACTGTGGTGGAGGTCATAGCTACCCAGAGTTACATCACATGTAGTGATGAAAAATTGTTACAAAGGAAGTAAGAACAGGATTTCAGCACATAGTTGCTAGTTTACTTTACACCATTCACTGTTTTACTTTTAAACATTAGGATTCCTTCTGTGTTTCCTGCTGTTCAAGTCATCCATAACAACACTGAGAGGTCAAAAGTCCTAACATTTTTTGGGGGATTTCAATTCTTGTATTTTTCTGTTGGTCAACAAGGTATTCAACGGGTTGTTTTTGTCCTCATCCAAATGTCCGCACATGATAGCAGTCTAAGACAGAGTGTGTGCGTGTGTGCGTGTATGCATGCATGTGTGTGTGTGTGTGTGTGTTTGTGTTTTTATGTGCGAGAAAAAGAGAGTAAAAGAGCGTGTGAATATGTTTTTTCATTCAGGAGAATACTGGGGCTTATTGATTATAAAAATCTGATTAAATGACCTGACCTTAAGATACGACCTTTGCCTTTTTTGTACGTGAATTTGTTAATTGTCTCTATTTGTTTTTAGAAACTTTACCTTTATTGCATCAACTAAATTTAGTCAAACTCAGAACTTTCTGTTTTTGTTTTGGTGATAAACTCCTGATTTTTCAACTTGATATAAAGTGTAAAGTCCTGACCATAGCTTCCTACTTTTCAAAACTTTTTCAATTTCACACAACAACATGAGAACATCTGATTCTTGTTTTTCCATATATGGCAATTCTCTGAAGACAGGGCCCTAATTCCTGCATTCCACTGTGGGGGCTCCAATAGCCTACAGGTCTCAGATACAAACACTCCCCAGATCTTGTCTCACACATTGTAGCCTAAAGGGTGCAGCGCTGATCTTTGTCCCAGATATTTCAGACACCTCACATTTACTAAACATGAAAACAAATGTAAAAAAGGTAAAGTAACTAACAACACATTTGGCTAACTTGACTTCAGATACCCACTGATACCTTCAAACACCCGCCCTGCATGTGTGGTGTTGTTATAGTGAAGACCCCAGTCCTTCTTAGAGGG